GGCTGCTGCTGTCGTTGGACGACCGTGCTGATCGGGAGCCAAGTTGTTGGTTGAAGATGGGGGCCACTGCTGCGGACCCCGCTGCTGCTGCACCACCAGCAACAACCGCGGCGTCTTGCCTCCTATTGTCATTCATCGAGAGCGGCGTGGGTGTGTGTGCACTTGTGCATGTGTGCGTGTACGCAGTGCCGCGGGTGCTGCGGTGCTGCGGGCTCAGCGTAGAAAGAACCATCGATAGATGCGTTGTCCGAAGCCTGGCCGAAGACGGAACAATATCGGAATGTATTTGTATTCCGAATATTTCGGGTAAATTATTCCGAATCTACTGCTGTACCAGAAGGTCCCTTCCACTCGACTACGTACTACTGCTGTTTGGCACGGTCTGTTATGTAGAAGAATGGTGGTCGCCATCTAAGCACCAATATAATAGGAATTGTGTCCACAATAGATTCGTGTAATCATCTATTGATAGGCACTGCGATAATCAATTACCTTCCGAAACAATAGTCTGATGGGCATTGGCCACGGCAAGGTTTGTAGACTCTCCATTCAATGTGTATTACAATGACATCATAGGGTTAGATAAATCGATCGAGTTACATTGTAACCCCGGGCAGATTCGGTAGGAAATCAATCGATAGATATTGTCACCATCAATATAACCCAGGTGAAAGCTATCGCAGAATGCTGTTCGGGCAATAGTGCTGTGAAGGGTGCGGTCCATAGACACTGCCAATGGCAGTAGAATAGGGCAAAGGTCTTTCAGTAGGCATTATCCACGGCAATGCCGGCATCTATTGCACTATTTTCTATTGTATATTGCACCCTCTATCCCTATTGTCCAAGGTGTGATATAATTTGTCTACTGTTGCATGCATCGGCGGGATGGTTGTTGTTATTGTTGTCTTCACATTAAAAACCGTTCCGATCTCTCTCTGCCCAGTACCTTCGCATGTCCGTACTGATCCAGCACTCGACGCGGTCGATTCCCGTGGTCACAGGCTAACTTACCCTAAAAAAGGTACACTCAAATAAACTAGCCCCGAGGGGTCCGCAAGTCAATAGAAATTAACGACAGATATTCTGGAGTCCTCCACTCCCTCTGCGCGCTATGCGAGGTATAACAACTGAGACTAGGAGTCACCATC